GGTGTGTCCCTCGCCCGCACTTCTCGCCCGCTCCCAAGCCAAGGGTCTCCCAGGAAGCGCTTCGCAAACACTGAGGAAGCTGCGCCCGCTTCGCAGCGTTACTCGGAGTGTTTCCCCATTTTGGGAGCGCGGCAGTGAGTTCCCTGAGGTCGGAGTGCTTCCTAGAGGCAGAGCTGGAGAGAGCCCGCTGCTCCCTGCCGCACAGCTCGCACCAGCTCCCCTCCAAGCCAGTTACAGGTTCACGTCTCCCAGTTAATAATTATGTATTAATCCAAGCGGCTTCACTCACCAATATTCCTCACAGCCAGCTGCAGCTGTAAACACCCTGCAAAATCTTGTTTGTGCAGTGCAAAAATTAGAGCAGCTGCAACGCTCGTTGCATGTTGATTTATTGGTTACCGTGGGATGGATCCGGACGGGCTCCAGAGCTGCGCCGGGGACCCGGCCCGCTGCCTCGGCACGCAGCCGGCCGCTCCCCCTGTAAACGCTGCTGGTGACTGTGGGCAGGAACGCAGTTAATGACAGAGCTGCTCTCATTCTCAGGCTCTGACCCGCGCCCTCGCTGTGCCTCGAGGACCCCAAACTGCGCTTACAGACGGGCGGCGCTTTCCCCGGAGCCAGAGCGATTGCGGCGCTGGGGAGACCCGCCGGTGCCTGCAGCAGGACGGCAGCGCTGGGATTTCGAAGCCAGTTTAACAAATGTTCGCGGGACACAGCAGGCGTTCGTTAACCTTCCCCCTGCCAGGCGAGTCGCAGGCTGAAGAGAACCCTGGGAGCGCGGCTGCCGGGGACAACCTGGGCTGGACGCCACAGACACGACATCGCTTTGCCAAAGGCCAGCTCGGGAACCCTGCAAAGTCGGCACAGACAGGCAAAGCCCGGCCGGTGAGTCTGTGGGGAACGGAAGCTTGTGATACAGATCATTTAATAAAGTGCCATGCCTGTATTTTTCCCTTTTCCTGGTGTTTTTGGACGGCTCCTTACCAAGCACCCTTTCAGCCACACCTTCCCCCCAGACAGCACCACGTCTGGTTCCCGGAGGCAGGTGGGACACAAGTGACAAGGGGAGGGGGCCGGGGAAGCCGCCCCTCCCTGCCAGGGCCTGCTCCTGCCCCCCGAGCCACCCCAGCCGGTGCAAAGGCCGGGACTGGGCTTTACACCTTCTACTGACGGGGCTGGTGTCATTAGCTCAGATCATCTCCCGTCTCTCCGGGAGCAAAGGAAACCTTCGGTTCCTTTATGGGGAAGATGCAAGAGACAGCCCGTGTTGCAAACAGGCGGCCTCATGTAATTAGCAGAGGCGCTCGTTATTTTAGGCGAGGCTCAGCTCCGCTTCCCAAAGCCCGAGCAAGAGCAAAGCCAGCGCTGAACGCAGGATACCTTTAAGGCTGCCTCAGACAATAAAATCAAACGCAGTCAGACGATGACAGGTCTCCCTCCCTCCCCCCTCCGCCCGCCAGAAGGGAATTGCTCAGTCACCTGCACCCAGAATAGGACTTTGTCCCCGTTCCGTCATTAATTTATTCCCTGTGAATTAGTGGGGCCCCGGAGACGCGCGCAGCCCACCTGTTCC